CTCCTCCTCCTCATCCTCCTCCTCCTCCTCCTCCTCCTCCCTATTTCGACGGTCCCTCATCCCATCGTCCCGCCACACCAATTCCCCTCTACTCCTCGTCCTCATCCCCTCGTCCCTCACAGTTGGTCGGCCGTGATCGCCACTATCATCCCTCTTCCTCGCGTGGCTCCAGCTCATCCCCCGTCACCCGACTCCAGCTACCTCCTCCTACCTCCCTGCGCCGCCGGTCATCCACTGCCCCGTGGCCACATACGTACACGGCCAATGCAGCCAAGCGTCATCCGCCATGATCTATATTTCCTGTACCGACAATCCGGCATCGCCCGGCTCCGAATACATACGCATCTGGATGTATTCTATCTCGAACCCGGACTTAACCCTGACCCCCTATACCCGAGGCAACAACATTCATCCACGTATCTCTATTAGCTACCGCTAACTTGCCTCACCCAATCCCCCTGCACTAATCCCCATAACCTTCTTGTCATTTTTCCACATAGCCCGTAAAGGCCGAGAGAGGGGGATGATAATAAAGATTGTTGCTGCGTCTGCGACGCCACCCTAGAAGCGTCTTATGCGGTTTTGCCGGCCATCTGAGATCCCTGAAGTTTGAATTTTGTATTTTCCGGCCCCGTAAGCCGTTGAAATTTCACTTCCTGAACCACGTCACTGCTAAAACCACGAGATTCTAGAAGAGCCAAGAGGCCACTTCATTTGGCAAATAAACATCGGGGCTGGGTTTTTGACGACAGAAGACGCGATTTTAAGGCCTGATGGATTATTTAATAATGTCGTGCCTCGAGATTCTAAAGCATCACCAGTGTTTTGTAATTATTTAGAGATGTCGCCGATAATTGTTAAACGGCTATTTTCGTACTCCCGAGTCCATTCGACAAATCCCGAATAAACGCATTAACAATAAGACATTGATAATATTAATAATAATAATAATAACAACAACAATAATAATAATAACAACGACAACAACAACAACAACAACAACAACAACAACAATAACAGGAATAATAAAAATGATAATAATTACAATGACGACGAGAATGAAAATGACAATGATAATAGCGACAACTTTAATAAAAAATAACGACGGTAAGCATCAAGATACTCGTACAATAAATAATACAGACAATATTATTTAGTTTTTGTATTACAATGTAAGATGACAATTGAGATAATCGGCCGACCGTAATTAAATGACTTGAGTAACCTTATTTGCGTAATGAAGCATTTAGCCGAACATCGTGATATTTCATTTAAAACTAATTAAGTAAAATACCGTTTGCTTTATGGGAAAAAGAGAGCGCACAGCCATAATGATGAAATACAGTTATAAGCATTTAACCAGCGAAACACTTATGCCCGCATTTTAAGATGCTAAAGCGGACGTAAATCAAAATTTAATTGCCACAATTTATCGCTTTATATACGCAGCCAGCGCATAACCAAAGAAAAATTCATTAACAATACGAGAATTCAACGAATTCCTTTACATTTTGCATCCCAACTCGTACAACATCATCCCTCCTTCTACGTGAAAGTATTCGCTAATTCGCGCGTCAGCCTCAAAAATTCAAAGCCTCCCCGACAGTCGGGATATGAGGACGCTGTTCCACATATCCAGGTGGGCGCCCAGTCCTTCGCATGCACAACATTGATAGCGTCAGCACGGACTCGGCACGAATAAAGAGAGGCCAGTCGAATGCGAGTGGGCGATATTGAAAAGCTGAAATTCGCCGGAGGTGACGGTGAGGCGGTGGGAGGAGTGGCGTGAGCGAGGAAGGCTCGAAATGGATCCACATGGATCGTAACGTATCGAGGGAAAGTTGTAGAGTCGCGCGCAGGTATGCGTATCAGGGTTGCAGAATTGCTTCGTCAGAGGCTGCGTGCAACGGCCTGGGTTACGAGGCGGGGTTGATGGGATGAGGCGCGGTGTTGTTGGCCGCGGTGGGGGGGAAGGGCGAAGGGGGAGAGGGGGAGAGGGGGGGGGCGACGACGACGTTGACGGAGAACGCGCGGGAGGCAGAAAGGGGCGGCGGGAGGGATGGTAGCCGACGCACACTCCACCCCCATTACGGGGCGGAGCAACCGCCCACGGCAGCACTCGCAACGGCCCCCACCCCTGGCCCCTTGGCGTTGCAGCGATACGCGATATCAGGGGGCCACTTGTTGCGCCAACTCGCGTCCAATGCGCTCGGCGCTTCATGCTACTTTTTCACCTTCTTCGTATCGTCGAACCTCGCCGTTTCCCTTCCGCTCCTATCCCTTGCTTCATCCCTTTAACGAGAGCTCTCTGAAATATTATTGATATGCCCATTCAATGGGAAAGCACGCGCTCGTTAAAAGACACTGGCCAGCCACGTGTAATTAAAAGTCTCATTCTGCTAAAGCAATACGCGATTGTGACCGGAACTTCTTATCATCGTCGTACCGAATTCACGGTGGCTTTGCGGTGTAGTTGAGGGGCGGGAGGGGGAGGCTCTTAAGGGCCGAATTTGAAAATTTTAAAGGGGAATGAATGATAGACCGATTATGCTTTTCTCTATTAGAGGTTAAAAGACCTTGGCAGCCTTTGACTGCCGATTGACGACTTTGCTATTTATCGCTCCACGGAACGTCACGTGGGCACTCGATGCACTCCCCACGACCATAATGTTTGGCCATTACGCGACATTTGTCGTCGTAGTAGCGTCGGCCGACTAAACTTCAATGCTTTTTTTGTTTTCTTGTCTTTTCATTTTACGAATGCCCATACGCCCGTTTACGTCATTATCGAGGTAAAAAGGGATGGTGGATGGTGGATAAAGGAGCCAAGTGCCGCGACCAATTTGCTCCAAGAGCTTGAATTTTTCCAGAGAACGATTGAGCGCGAGGATAAAAGCTCCACAGAGGCTTGACAGGACGTAGCCGTGCATTCGCGCGAATTTTCAACTAATGAGGCGATGAGAAATTGACTGTCGAGTCGGTCGCTCGGAATTCTCGTCGGTGACACGGTTCTTTGAAATGAAATATTCAGATCCTTGGACAGCTACGCCCAGGGTTTGTATTAATATCGTGTCGAGCTTCGAAAAACATGATCCGCAACCAAGAATGGTACATAAAACCCAAACAAAAGCGCTCGGCAGCTAGGAACTACGGCAATTCACGAAATTCGCGAAAATGACGTCGTCCCACGATCCTGACTCTGGCTCGTCGGCATTGAATCTCCCGGGGCGCGAGCATCCGCCGCGGCCGCCTGCCACGAATGTGCGCGTTCCGCGACTTCCACAGGCTGGCGTGCCTGCGTCAGCAATCCTCCGGAAGTCTTCGGATTCCTCGAAATTTCACGACCTACCTTACTCCTCTACTCCTCTCCACTCTGCTCTTTTCTCTCTCTCTCTCTCTCTCACTCTTCCCCCAAACTCTCTGATCGACCAAACCTCAGCCACCTCTGCTGCCCTTTCCATCTTACGCTTCGTACGTGCACATACGTATCTTCGACTACCGGGCAAACTCGATTGAGGCCGGGTGAATCACATCGCGCGGATACGCTACGCATCCTTGTAAGCTAAGGATATCCGTGCAATGCTGTTGCGCAGACGAAGGCATTGCACTTTGATTTATTCGATGCTTCTTTCTCTCTCTCTCTCTCTCACTCTCTCTCTCTCTCTCTCTCTCTCTCTCGAGCGTCGACGCACGCTTTGACTCGCATTTTATAATCGCGTCATCGTACAATGTCATTAGCTCATTATTCCACGGCTTATTGAAGTATGCAGGAGTCATCGACTGTGGGTATTAGCACTAAACTAATTTGTTCTTACTTAAAGTATTAATTACATTTTCATTGTCATGTTTACACATTTTGTTTACTATAATAATAATAATAATTATTATTATTATCGTTGTTCTTGTTGTTGTTGTTGTTATTATTATTATTATCATTATTATTATTATTATTATTATTATTATTATTGTTATTGTTATTATTATTATTATTACTATTGCTATTATTATTATTGGGTTCCTCAGGGCATAGCCGTAGAAATACGTGAGAATTCATAAAGTGAACATGAAAAGACAATGTGAAGACCTCTTGGAGTTATAGTGAGTGCACACCAAGTTACATTTTTCTCGATAAAATTATATATCTTAACAAACTCCTCCCAGCATAACCATTATATTATCGATAACTGTTATCTGATCTATAAAGAGGACTGAAACTTGGCGGATTTAGTAATCTTTTGCCGTAAGAAAAAGAAAAAGAGAAGAAAAGGAAGAACTTGTTTTATCATTGATAAGCTAAAATTTTTATGTGCCCGTACATCTCCATCTACAGCTGGTTAATCATCCATCGAATCGATCAGTGACAGAAAGTTTTGAGAATTGCTTTGGCAAATCAGAAATTATACGATATAATTACCCGACAATAAAATCAGCCTTTGCTTATCGAGAAAGATAGTCTATTATCTTTATAATAAAACTCATATAATTATTATCGCCACAAGCGGTCATAAGCGATTAACAAAAAAAAAAAAAAAAAAAAAAAAATCGTGCTTTCAAAGACGTAAATACCATTGGGACTGTCAATTGTATCCCACGAGCCATTAATACTACGAAATGTCCGACTTTTGATTGCGACGCTCTCTCCATGTGTTTGTGTGCATTGTACTCGAAACCCCCCCCCCCACCAATCACCCATACCGACCAATCTCTAAATCCAGAAAATACAGAAAATTCACGAATTCGCCATGCTAAATTGCTTGTTTTTCTATTGTATGTTACAGGCAGTGCGGTGGCTGCAGCCGACACCATTTCTTCACCGTGGACTCCCGCAAGTTCCGGGCCGCCGCCCGACGCCAACGGCACCGGCTCGGATACGAAAAATCTCGACGTTGGCGACATCAGCGATGTACGTTCACTCTTACTTATGTCACTCTACCTTTGCGTGGCCCTCGATTAGCGACTAATATATCGTCCGCTCTAAAGCTATTTACGGATACGTCAGCTGGCCCGGAAGTTAATTGATTGGTGGGGCAGGGGTAGGGGAAGGGGGGGGGGGGAGGCACCAAGACGTGGATCGTCACGTCACACTTGTTAATCGACTTGATAATCCACGAGCCATGGCCGGAAATTTGCAAATTTACCAAAGTTACCCGTTATTTTCGCATCGAACGAATTAGATTTGTTGCTATTTCGACAGAATCCTAGGGCTCAGTAGAAATATATCTATCCCGACGGTACATTCCTTTACCCATAAATAATGCTACGACGAGGAAAAACAAAAAACAACAATGTAAAAGAAAAAGAACTGTAACGAAGCAAAGTAATGATAATTGAAAATATAAGAAAAAAATTAAAAATGTCTGACCTCGATTGTTCCATGTGCATCGGAATAAATAACGTGAGATATATTTAAAGAAAAAGAGAATGATAAATGTAAAATTACGGAATTATTGGAATCGAATAATAAAATACAATTGTTTGTAACTTGTTTTACTGTATGATGTTCGACTTTGTTAAAATAATGAGATATTTCAGATATTTCACAAGCGAAATGAAATGTTACTTAAATGAAATGAAAATATCAAGCAGTGTTGATATGGCTTTGGCTCCATCAATTTCACATTCCTAAACGGACAATGTTAAATTGAAAAAATCAAAAAATTAATTGAGATATAAAACGCGAGAATGTACATATTCATTATTAAGGAGATTTTAATTTGATACTTTTATTTTAATATTTTAAGAAAATACAAACAATAATAATGCCAATCGACACGTGCAACGGTTAATATTTTTAATACAAGCTCATTTATTACATAATTTATCGATTTACATTATAACGTTGATTTACGAAACATCTGTAAGATATTGTCGACAATTGTGGATTAGCTATTGAATAAAGACAGATGAAGCCTCGAGTGACACTTAAACTTGAATTAATGAATTGGCTTTATGAAGGAGCGAGACGAGTCAATAGTTTGGGGCACCTTTTTATCTTTAATTAAATTAACGCTTTACAATATCCTTTCGTGCATATAATTAACTTGTCGATGTTTATATATATATATATATATATATATATATATATATATGATGGAAATGTTGTATTTTTTTCTTGAAGGAAAAAGTAAATTTTTTCTTATAATGCACCGAGAGACTTGGATCATATTGTTTTGCTTGAAAAGCACAATATAGAAACATTCGATTATGTTCCTTGATCCTCTTTTCGCCGAATTACTTCCCTTCGATCTATCGATTATCACTATCCGATATAATAGGCAACCTATCTTATTAATAATTAATGAGCCGCGTGTTAAATCCAACAGGATGAAAAGGACCTATCGGCGGCGGACGCCGAGGGCGTTTGGTCGCCGGATATCGAGCAGAGCTTCCAGGAAGCACTCACCATATATCCACCATGCGGTCGTCGCAAAATCATCCTGTCCGACGAGGGAAAGATGTACGGTAAGTACTTAGAGCCGTGATATCGGCGACCCTTTGTTTCGTCAACATGTGCTAGTGACCACGCTAAAGGACTATTCGTAAAAAGCAGTTACGACTCCTCGGTCCTTCATCTCATTCGATCTTGTAAATAATAACTGCTGTCTTTATGTCTCGAGATAATCAGAAAATCTTGCTCATTTGATTGAGCGGCTGTTGCCTCACGGGGCAAATAATGAAAGTGCGCCACAGCGTGATAAGTTAATCGCCCGTGTAGCCATTAATTTTGGTAAACTCAGAATTAGGATGAAGTAGGAAATGCGTGCCTTGTAAGAAGAGCCATTACGCAGCCATTTGGGCATTGAATAAGCCGTTGTTACATTATGGATACTACTTTGTCACGATGGTGGTTGAACTTTAGCTGGAGGGAGGGTGGTGATTGGGACCGAATGCTTTAGCAAAAAGAACGATTTTCAGTAGATTGCACTCGTATCTTTTAGCTTACATAGACTTTGTCATTAGCGAGGAGACAATAGGTATTTCAACTGAAAAGTCAAACGGCCAAGACGCAAATAAATGCGGTGGTGCGTTTCGTCTTTCCTAATTACATGCGAAGACAACGTGTGGAGTATCAGGAGGCGCGGTGACGAATACATTTCCACAAATGTCCGACTTGTTGTTTCCTTTCCCTCTTTCTCGCATTCTCTCCTGTCTCTTTATCTCTCTCTCTCTCTCTCTCTCTCTCTCTCTCTATATATATATATATATATTGTGAGGTGAGGAGAGGGTCGTTATTGGGTGGAACTGAGGTCAGTCTACGTGACAGCGCGGCGATATTGCTCGCTAGTAGTAAGTAAGGATACTGGAGTCAGGCAGCCGTTACCGCTGCCCTCCGACCCTATCACCATCACTGGCACCAGCACCACCGGCACGAGTACCACTACACGCTCTATCGCCCATTCACCATCGGGAGCTACGACTGAGACGAGGAGGTTCGCGCAGACATAACCACACCGTGAGACTCGCCACGGCAAAGCAATAACCCCGTCGATCTCCTCCCCGCCTCTCCCTCGAATAGCCCTGCCTATAAAGTTCCCCGTACCGGATGATTTCATTGCTTCTGCCCGATCTCGTTCTCATTCAGTTTGACTTGACAAAAGAATTTTATCCTCGGATGCCGATACTTTGCCGCCCTCACGACGCCTCCTAACCACCCGAGCCCGTCGTCCGAGCCTTACACAGCGCCCCTCTGTACCGACCATTTGACAGATTTTTAATCCCCCTCCCTCCAAACCCCACCCATTTTCTACGTTTCCAACTTTTTAACCCTCCCCGTCTTTATTCCAGGAGTTTGCTGCGTTATTGCGCCATTCTTCCGAATAACTCCAATCGCCAAGTTTACTTGAATGGAGCCTCTTATTTGTACTTTTGTACTTTGATGCTCGCACGCTCTTATTAAATGTCAAATCTTAATTCACGACATAACCTCACCTCTATAATTATCATTCGAAATTTCTTTTCATAAAGACAGGCCTTCCCCTCGAATACATACTATAATTGCCAATATTTCTTACTCGCTTACGACGACCTTCCTATCGAGATCATTTTAAAAGCTTATAATCAGCCACTTTGTGTAGAAATCGCTTGCAACATACCGACATTTAGAATCAACATTCTTACGCGTACGGCATTACCAATGCTATAAATTTCTCAATTATACCAAACGTTATTTCATTTTTACCTACAGTCTGTATTTCATCGCAGAATTCTTGTAAACCCGGGTAAAAAGAAGCACACACCGCTCCCAAATGCAACTATTAATTAAACTCTTCGGAGCAGTTTAGCGGTCCGATAGGTATTTCAGGATTAAGTAAAGGGTAACATCAAGACACGTATCTTGAGGCGGCTCTCTCCAAAATTGCCAAAAAAAAGAATAGAAGAGAGAAAGAAAACGAGTAACAAGAAGAAAAAAAAGAAGAAGAAGAAAAAGAGGGAGAGAGAGAATAACAAATTAAAAAGGTAAAAATAAATATAGCGGTGGATGCTTCGGAAGAGGGTTGAAATCTGGCGGTTTGAATTTTTGGAGAGGGAAAGTAATAACGTCGATTACAATCGTTGGCTGCGTTCATTCTCTCTCTCTCTCTCTCTCTCTCTCTCTCTCTCTATATATATATATATATATATATATATATAATATAAACGAAGATAGCGCGCTTAAGACATGTGTATATATATATATATATATATATATATATATATATACACATGTCTTAAGCGCGCTATCTTCGTTTCTCTCAACAAAGGATAACGAGGCGCGAAGATGGTTTGACGCGATCGGCCTTCGATCCCTCGCCTGCAAAACTTATTTCATCGGCGGCGAGCCCTCGCTTCGTTGCTTCCGTCGACGCCGAAGCGACGAGCCAATAAACGATCAGCCCTTTTCTCTCTCAGGATTAAATATCTCGGGGCAATTTACCTTCGTATATCTCTTCGACGCGCGGCAGCCTATCCTTGGCCGACGTGACTTTCTTCCGGCGCCTCGAGATGCGCGCCCCCGTCCCTTTTCACTTTGCTGGCTTTTCATTTTGCATTTTCTCCGTTAGACGGGACGAGACTCGGTGACTCGACCCCGAAGGGTGAAAACGAGCCCTGGACTTTGGCAGCCACCTTAGCGAAGACGCGAGTGAGACGATTGACGGCCCCAGCCAACCCGAGCATCCCCTTACTTCCAAACAAATTAACGCCAACTTCATACTGTTTGATATGGGAATGATGCTTCGCCCACTCCTCCCACATCTCCACTGCAATTGCATCATCCCACGCCCCGAGCTCTTCGCCTTCTTTGCAATTCAATAATTCTTTTTCCACTTACTTGTGCGTTTAAACTGGTAAATTATAATACTCGCGTATACTATAATAGTTGCCATCTGTGGCCAACTCAACTCGGCTTTATTTATTCATTTTATTTTCACGAACGTGTAATCTACTGTCCACTGATATAATATCCAATGTAGTGTTGGCGTTTCCATTAACATCTCATTGATATTAAACGATTAAGCGATAAACAGCCCCAAATTAATTCTTATTGGTTAAATACTTAAAGATGGATAGATAAATTTGTCAATAATCTCACTGAATAACGAGCTTTCTACTTCCTTCATTAGCTTCTTTCAATCCTTTAAAAATATCTAATTAACAATACGCGCGATTTACAAGATATTACAGCGATATTTAATACAACGAGGAGGTTTATCTAATCAAATGCTTGTTTTTTTTTTTTTTTTTTTTTTTTTTTTTTTTTTTTACTTAAGTATGTATGTTTTAATATGTATGCATTCCAATTATATTAACGTGTCTCGGACCGTTTCAATTCAATTAATACAACAAACAAACAAACACAAAAACAAAATTAATAACAAACTAAAGAAATCAGTACAAAATGTGTTATCGATGTAGCTTTGTAATACCTCGTTTCACTATATATTTTGATAAACAATTGAAAATGATACAAAATGTGCATTGAAATTAATTTCTTTTACAAGAGCAACGACATACACTCATGAATTAAACATCGTAATACGTATATTAGAATTGTCGAATTATCGCTCATAAGATTCCTCTTAACTTTCGTGCACGCACGCGCCTCAAAGCCAAGCGAATATTCACAAACAATCGCGCCCGCGTGTGTATGTGTGTCCCCGACTTATATGTATTATTATTCCGTCTTTGTATCATTCGATTCGTTGGCTAGCATTAAGTGAAAGTTCGTGGAGGCATAAATACGCAGACGACGGAGGGTGAATCCGAGAAAGATATAATGCGCTAGAAAAGGGACAGATGGTGGCGGGATGCGAAGGAAATTCAATATTTGCATGTCCGACGTATAATAGAAGAGTGGCCGAGGCTGTGTGTGATCTTCTCGGCCTTACGAACCACGGAATCGATGGAAGTGGGAAAGCCGGCCGATACGCTGCTGTCACTTCGGCTTTACCCATATACTCGCGTTTACCGGCAAGCCGGGCCCCGACACGCCAAGGATACCGCGGAACAAGGACATGGACAAGCGCCGCACTCAGAAGGATGGCAAAGCGACTGGAGGTGGTAGGGCGCTAATGTCACGTTGCTCGCTGTTCGATAAATTAAGAAGCATCGGCGAGCCGCAAAATTAATACCCAAAGATGGTGGACGACCGAGACCCCGTGACCGGGCCGGAATAGGTGCCGAGGAGGCCTTAAGCGTGGGAGGCGGCGAGTCGGTGCTGGATAGAACGTGCAAACGCGCGTCGGCAAAAGTAAGAGCCGACGTGTAAGGCCGTAGGGGAGGGGTCGCGTTCGAGATGGAAGAGGTGGAGGAGGAGGAGGAGGAGGAGAACAGCATCAGTAGATAGTGTCCAGTTATTGACCGGCGGAAGCCGAGTGGTGTCGTAGTCGCACGTCTCCGACGCCTCTGGAGAGAGCGAGGGACACCCGCCGACACCGCCGTTGCCGCCGCCACCACCTTTCCACGGCTCGACACGCCCGCGTATCCTGCCGATATACGTCCTCTCTCTCTCGATCCTTCCTTCTTTGGCAGCCGACAGACGCCCCGGCGTCCCGCGGCGCGATGTAAAATGGCTTTTCATGCTGGGGAAAGCGCCCCCGGGCGTTGTCGTCTTGACCACTTTTGCCCGCGGCTTATCCGCGTTCGCGCGATCCTCGGCCTTCATCGAACAATTCCAATTGCAAGCACGACGAATATCCACCGCCCATCCCCCCTCGCCACACACATATACACACTCCCTTCATCCCCCCATATAACGACTATTCCTAGGGGCTCCCCATTTTTCTGGTTTTTTGCATATTTCAAATGTACATTTTGTACTGAGAGAGGAGAATTTTCGAGGGAGCTTAGATGGAGTTTTTTTATTGGATAAAGCGAGCTCGTGATGCATTGGATTTTACGTTGACACGAATTAGTTGGATTTTTGTAGCATTGGGCAAACGGAACGATCGATAATTGAGTTAAAAATATGTCGAGGAGTGCGG